TTGTAGTGAGAAAAGGAAATTAATGTTTCAATATTCACAAAATTAAATCTGGGGTTCTGTAAAAAAGTATAATAAAAGCTATTACAGATAAATATAATATTCAATATGAATATAGAAAATATATCAGCATAATATGAACTTCAATTATGGAATGAATTTCATAATGACGTAGGAACAGACTAAATAGCAGTAAATTGGTATTTATTAACTTTACCAACATCAATATTGAGTACCACCATATCACCATTAGCGACAAACGAGTTCCTCATGATACTATAGTAATAAATAGGACTCTAGTTTTCTCATTCTTAATTTTTATTTTCTGCGGAAACTTCGGGTCTTACTCAGAATTGTTCTTGTATTCGTTATATTTTACAATCCACAAATATATGATGTAGGATTCTTATATATTTTTATATTTTATTAATAACATTAAATTTTGTGGATTCTATAAAATATAAATTCGTCCACTGTAATCACTGAACTTTTCATTCGTTAAATTTATTATTTTTTTTTTACAGCTATCCGAAAATACTGATGAAAATCGTTTAGAAGAAGAATTAAGAAAGCAACTACGTTTCAACAATTATAGCATTGCTGGCACAGATTTTTATACCACCAATAAGGATTTGGAATTATTAACTGTTGTTGGTGAGTATATTTTTTTTTCGATCTCCTGCGTTTTTAACCGTGATTTAAAAGCCGTATCTGTAACGAATCTACTTGTATTGGGTATTAACAATCATTATTACTTACACTTATTATTATTTCAATAGACTTTGATGAATGTACTGATATGAAATTCCATGATTGCTCATCCAACGCTCGTTGTTTCAATTTGAAGGGAACCTATACATGTAGCTGTCGAGAAGGATACTCTGATCTTTCAGAAAATAATATTTTTCCTGGTCGTAAATGCTCGCCCGAAATAATTGGTTGCAACAAATGTCACTATAATGGAATATGTGTCAACTCAACAGTAACAACTTCAGCGGGAGAGCTACTTAAAAATCAACACTGGATACCAGATAGTATGGCTTGCGAGTGTTTTATTTGGTATGCGGGTACTACATGCCAACTTAATTTGAAAATTGTACTTATAAGTCTTAGTGCTATTGGTGCTGTGCTTTTTGTACTCTTTCTATTCTGCGTTTTGCATGTTGCATGCTCCAAGCATGCACGTGCTAAAACTATGTTCAGGTGTATTAGTCAAGGCTGTGGAATAGCTCAAACGGCAGGTGGTCCACGCTTATTCAGTGGCTCTTACATGCACGATGGGAGCAGTTTCAGTGGAAATTGTGCAATAATTAAAGACACTAGTAGCGAGAGAAGTCATTGCTCTTTGCCTTATGTTTTGCGAAGTGATTCAACACATGTTGAAAAATATTCCAACAAACCAAAGAAATTTACTGTTAAATATAAACAACACGACCCACCCATTCCTTATGAGATCCTTACCTCTAATTCGCTTGATAGAACGCCAGAATTTATCAGTAACGGCCAATCAATATCAAATATGGAGGAATGTTTTTCAGATCAAACTGATCGATCATTAACAGTCATGATTCCGCGTGCAAAATATTATTCCTCAACAAAACCGCAAGGCCAGTTTTTATTCCATCAACCAAATATAAGAAAAAATGATATGAAAATTAATATCTCAAAACTTTCGAATGGACAAAAGGTGAATTATTTGTAGAACCTCCTTACATATATCTCAATGCATCGATATTATTTCTGAATTAATTTTTTTAATTTTTAGTTTTCAAGCGAAAAAAAAATGAAATTGAGTACTGGATCTTCAAAAAACAACTTCATTGCAGCTGATAATCACGGAGCTCTAGTCTCCGCGGGTTTTGAAGTATCTGCGGTTGTCGGTCATAATTTGAACAACTCTAGTTCTGATAAAAATGACGGAATGGATGATATTTCTAATGCACAAATGTACTTCAATGCTGAACATCAAAATTATTTTTCTAAACAATCAGAGTAAGTAAAAAGGTTTTTGTAACTACGGCACCAATTGAAAATTCAGTTGCATTTTTTTTTAAAAATAAAAATATGTCTTAATTTTTTTTCTTTAAATAGGTCCACAGAAGTAAGGTCTTTTAATGAAACTATAGTGCAGGGATATAACAGATTAATACATAATTTTGAAAATGAAACACTTGATGTAAGTTCATAGTAGAATTGTTATATTTACTTTCTATATATGTAATCAGTCACTTCGTTTAAGTAATTAAGAAGACACACCTTATTGGATTTATTGTCTAAAATCATATAAAACCACGTCGTCCATTAGTTACAATTAAGTTTTAAGGCTATAAGATTTTTAAAATACTTATTAGCTTCAATCATAATTTGTAAATCAGAAGTGCATAGTGTAGTTGACAATATGTTTTTATTTTTTAGGAGGCGAATACCATGGCTGAGCGAGACGTTGGATCAACATTTCTATTACCCCATACTCACCTTTACAAGTTAGATATTGTAAGACTAAAAATTTCTATGCAAACATTTATTTTGAATAATCTTTGTGTTCTTGATTGTGTTTTTCAGCAAGAAAGTGAAATATCTGGTCACGAATCATTTTAGGGACGATGTGGGGTACTGGATGATGTGACGCCTTAGAAGTTACAATTGAATTAAAACTAAAATCTTTCATCAAAAGAGTGACAATCATAACGTTTCTCAAAATTTTCATCGATGCAAAAATGATGCACTAAAATATAATGCTTAAATCTCACATTATTCTTATAATTAAGAGATTTGATCTGCAAATATTATTTATAAATTCATCTCCGCCCAAGGATTTTTTTTGGAATTTTTGGTCAAAATGTTTCATATTTAAAGCTTTATTAGTAAGAGGGTGGGGAGTGTAGAGTGAAGTCACAAATATTTTTGTAAAGCTTAAGCTTCATACATTCAAAGTAATAACATATATAAATTCTATAGTCTTTCTAATATAAACAAAAACTCTATGAAAAGGGGTAAAATTTGCTGTTCGATTAATCGAACTTTGGGCGGATATGGGTTAATTAAAGCTTATTTTTATAAGGGCTAAAAAAATGTGATTAAGCATATCTTATAACTTTTATATTTGTACTTTCATACAAGTTTAATTATGTAATTTAACATTAATGCATTTAAAAATTATTTATTTGTACAAATTTTAGGCAAATGTAAATGAATACATTTTTAACTTTTAATTACTGTTTATATTGTGCCAATTACATGTTACTTTTATTTTGCTATAAGTTACCTTATATTATTAAATAGTTTTTAAAATTAAGTTTCGGTTTTGTTACTGCGACCAGACAAGCATTTGTACAGAAAATAAATACATACATATTATTAACATTACATCCAAATACTCTTTTTTTTATACGCTAAGTGCCACTCGTGCCATATTAAAGTATTGCCATATGTTTATCCAATTACCATCTACTCTCTATTCATCTATGCAAAAGTAGGTACACTTCTTCTTATTTGGCACTACAGTCCAGTGTAAACCTTGGTCTCCTTCTTTTTTAAGCAAGCTTGCGTAGCGGATGTTTTTTCAACCCCCAACCTGGAGGACCAGATCCCCTGCAAATCTGGGGATAAAATTGGTGTTTGATAGCCAGAAAGTTTCCCCTCTGCTAGGTGTTTCCAGATTATACCGCTTGTGCTCGGTCGTCAGAGCCTAGTATGCGAGAATCGCCTGGCTGAGGCGAGGCTAGGCTATGTATTTGCATCACTCCCGCATTGCAGCACACACTTCTGCCCCTTGCAACCCTGGTAGGCAGACTAGATAATAGTATTATCAGTTCATTATTCTTTAAAATTTTAGCTCTTGTATTATACGTCGGTATTACCTGCTCTGGTCGCATCTACTGCAAATGTTACTACTCCATTAAAGGTGTCTGATGTGTTGTTATAGTCTCTGTGAAGCGCTACCGGTGTTTATAACTTAAGTTCATATATTTCCAGTGCCGCATTCTCTACTAACACGCAGAACATAGAGAGTATTGTTAAAAAAAAGCAACTGCAATAAAAGTTATCTACGTTATTTAAAATTTAAAAGCCTTTTTTTATTGATATTTATGAATACGAATTTATTACAATATTTTTAAAATTTTTTTATATATATATGTATATATAGATGTATTATTAATTCAAATTAATAATACTGTAATAATTAACAGATATACCTGATGTTGGCAAGTTATCTATGTCTGTATACCATTAATCGATAATCAATAAAACATATATAAATAAAGCGAATGCACGAGGCTCAAGAAAATTTTATACAATACTTTCACCAATTATAAGTATATTTAATTAATTTAGCTTTGACTATCAAATAATTATTATTTTATACCAAAGAAATGGATTTTTACTAATCGATGGAGCTTGATTGTTTCAGTTTGATTCAGAAACGAAGTGTGTAACGTATTCTAGCAAGTCTTGGAGTCCTCTCGCATCACCGAAAATTTACTAATCATAAACTTTTTAAAAAATGTTGTGGATTTGTAAACTTGTTGCAATCGTCGAATCAAAATCAATAATCTTGTAAACGTATCTATTCTCCGTGAATAAGGGTAATTTCCAATAGTCCGCAATACAAAAGCATGGTTAATACCATGGAATGGAAACTTACTATATGTAAACAAAAGTTCAGGTGTTCAGTGTCCAGTAGTAATTGTTTCATATATAACCAGTGCATATTTAAACATATTTGCATGAGTGCACACATATTAGTTCTTTCAACTAGTCTGCTACTAGTTCATTTTTGAATAGCATTAGGGGTTGTAGTCAATAATTCGGAGAATAAATTCTGTGCCATAGAATGTGGGAACCAAAGTCGTTATGTTTGCCCTCAGTGAAACAGTTGAGTTCACTAACTTCGCTGGAAGGATATAAAAGAGTTTAAAAATGAATATGTTATGCTGAAATAAGAATCAGTGTAAAACTAAAGTAACACGATCATCCATCCAGCAGTAGAAGATATACCTATATTAGTAATCAGTTACAAATAAACAAGAAATAATTTTTGCAATGTAAATTTACTACCCAACTGCGTGTATAAGTAAACTATTAGGACGTGCACCAAATATTGTTGGCAGAAGGTCAGCAACTCATGCATAGAGAATGTGTAAACATTCTCACCAACCTGCCATACTGACCACAGCACAGGTGCAGAGAGGATATACTTTTTTTCTAAAGTGACATACTAGCCGCATATAGTTTTGTCCTTTCAGTGTTTGTTAGCAAGCGAGAGTTACAGTTTGGTCGGACAACTAATTACAGTACGTAAAATAGTTATTTTTTATGGTGACTCTTTAAAGATACATTTGTATATATAAGTAATATAAATATATAAACACACGTACACATATATATACATGTACGGGTGACTTGATGTCTGTAGTATATGATTTATAATAATTTTTTATTTAAATTATTTTATTTAAAAGCAAAAATAATTCTAAATATCGCAGACCTTAATAAAAAAAAAATACTTTTACGCTTACTGGATGAGTGAATAAATTCGGTGTACAAAAATATTACTTGATTTTTTGACAAATAGACCGATTTGCACGTATGTATATACGAGTGATTTCATATTGTAATGAAATATTGAATATTATTGTATAATAATAATTATATAATGCAGAGCAATTAGTATGCATAAAATATGAAAGACTGCTTAATATTTTAATTCTGGAACTGTATTTTGGATACAAAACACTTACACACTCTAATGATACAGAAGGCCTCGGCCAATCACAGTCAAGAAAGATTGCGTAAGGCGTGTTTATGTGTTCGACTTGCGAACAAACCCACCCTTCTATTCTCAGAGAATTCAAATTTGCCAATAAGAATTTGAAAGCTTATAGTTATATCTTTTTGCATAAAATTTCATCATTTTAGATACCTAAATTTTGTTTAAGCACCATTTCTAGTTATCAGAAACTAAATATAATGCATCTTTTCGTTTTATTCTTAGAAACTACGTACACTATAGACTATTATTAATTAAATGAAATTAAATTGAGATCTTATTTCGACAAGGGAATACCTTTCTTATAAATTGAAGTCATAAATGTCGATGGAACCTGCACCGAATTTAACTATATGCTCCCAAGAAAGCCCTTCATCTTCATCTTTTTTAACAAATAGTGCTTTGTTATCTGACGTGACTCCAGTAATATCGTTGTCTGTACCACCCACTTCGGAAAAACAGTCGTTAATATCGAACGATGATGGTTCGGATGATGAAAGAGATCTCACGAACTTAACTTGGTTAACTGAATTACGAAACCAGAACCTCAGTTGGCCCTCAGTTGTCGATAAATGTGCAAATGTTGAGGGACAAGATGATGCCTCTATTGATAAAGTATATCAACAGCAACCATCAATTTCCGGCTTGGCTCAGACTAAACGTAAAAATTATAAAAATGGAAGAGTCCTTCAAACCATTCATGCAAAAAGTGGATCTGAGGAAAAGATGCTAAACATTTCTAATGGTCTCCAGAACGGTTTTTCGGTTAATACATGTAGCACACAGAAAGGATCAAGTCATCAGCAGCAAGGTCAACCTACGATCCCCACACCTTCGCAACGATATGAAATATTTTTAGATAAAATAAAACGGTAAGATTATTTTTCGAATATGTTATATATATAATGGATACATGCGTATATTTTAAAAATCAAGAAGAAACAATAGATTATTATTCTAATGAAATTAATAATAATAAATTAAGAACTCTGAATATGTTTATCATATTTTCATATCTGCAACTGTTGTTATATCAAAAACGTTTTTATAGAGACTTAATGGAATATAAAAAATTTGCGACAAATTACCAGAACGATCCAATAGAAAAGCCACCCTTTAATTATTCGCACATAATTGGAATGGCTATGTTAGAGAATGGGCGTGTAACATTACAGCAAATATGCACATGGATTGAATCGAAATTTGCTTTTTTTCGTGTTCGAAAAAAGTGGAACGTAAGCCAAATTATAATATTGAAAGTTTTATTTGTAATTAGTTTTAATCTTTTCCTAGAACTCCATTCGACACAATTTATCGCTACATTACTGTTTTCGGAAAATAGATCGCAATAAATATGAAAAAGGAAAAGGTGGTTATTGGGAGCTTGGCGTTGACCCAAAAAAATGCGATCGAAAACGAATTCGAAATCGTAAATCTTTACAAAGTAAAACGATTGGTATGAGGGCAAATAAAAATTTCAATTCAAGCATAAGATCAAGAACTGGAATACGAAATACAGAAAAGTCAAAATATTGCTGTTACTTAGTTGAGAGTGAGAAGAATGTTCTTCAACCTATGGTTGATGCTCAAAGCTTGCCAGCAAATAAAGAAACCAATGAACTGTTAGTCAATGAGTTGAATGTTCAACATAGCAATGTGAGCAATTGCAACGACCTACATCATCAGAACTTAAATGACGTTTTTATTACTGGCGTACTTAGCAATTCTACAGTTGAAGATACCACCAGTTCTTCAGAGATGTGTACGACTAACAGCATCAACAGCATGCAACAAAACATGCAAGATCAGCTGGATGATGATTTGCAACAAGGAGAGGAAAGTTTTCAACAACTACAAAAATATCAGCTTGGCACCATTATTATCAGCACTTCTGCAACGGATGTCGAACAAGCCAGTTCGACAATAAATAATATGTTTGGTGAAAATACTAATGAACAACATCAAAACTTGGTATGAGCGATATTAAGAAAGCTCTTGGCAATTCTGTATTTTTATATAAATGTTTTTTAGGTACTTTCCAACAACACAATGTTGCCAAGATGTGGAAATATAATAATCTCCTCATATCTTGCCAATAACAATATTGACAGTAACAGACACAATTTTAACGAACCACTTGCAAATCAAAGAATGCTAAGGTCAAATGTGATTGTGGAACAAGCTAATCATCCTTCTTTTGGCACGCTTTCTTCATTGGCTTCATCCAAAACATCTACCAATGAAGCCATTCCTCACATGGAGTACTCTACTGTTATAAGCGACAGTTTCCGTCCTTATATTGATGGCATTGAAGAGGCTTTCCAATATTTGCGTAGTATTGACAACAGTAATAGGGAGGATATACTTGACAATCTGTTAGATATATCCGTTAGTGACTATTAAATGACTGTATTATTATAGTTAAATAAGAAAATCTTGTCTTTTCGTCTGTCATACTGAATATCAACAAATAAAGAAAGTAAGAACAGATTTTTATGTATTCAAAGAAAATAATTGACTACGAATATCTTTTTAATAAATGTTAGTTACTTTGCTTAGGAAAGAATTAACTATTAATATGTAACAGAAAGATTAACAAACATACTTTATTCATCAGATATATATAGTTTATTAGAAATATAAATAAAAAAAGTATTTGTAAAATTTGCAATATTAAGAAGTTGTCAAAGTACCATAAATTACACGACAAAGCGATGTTTCTAACTTTGTTTTCTGAAAGTACAAAAGACTCTGAATCTGAAATACGAAATTATATTTGAAATTCTAGTGTTTCTTAAATAATTTTTTTGATTACTTTATGACAAAAATGTATAATTGTAATTACCTGCTTTGTGATTAGGGACGCTTTATACTGTGAGAAATTCATTAATTGTTTTCACTTCGGAGTGATTACTAACAATTATTCGGCATATGACATATTTTCCAGAAAAAGAATTTATATAGATCACAGAATTTAACAAGAAAACTTCAACTAACAGACTTTAGATTTTAACTTTAACTTTTACAGAAAAGTAAAAGTAATAATAACTAAGAACGCATCGATGCAATAGAGAGATAGAAAGTAAAAGCATAATCCTAAAATCATCTGGCAGCCTGGAGAATCATCTGGTTGGAGAATTCAGTTAAGAGAAAATAGGCTGCCTCATTGAACAAGTTTATATGTTGTAGGAAATTTTCTTATATTTTTATGCATATGCCAACATGAAAGTCTCAAGGGTTTAAAAATATTAATCACTGTTTAATTAATATGAAATTTAATTTAATTAATATGAAAACGTCATCAATACCATTTAGGAACGCTTAGGTGAGCAGTGATAACTAATCCTAGCAAGCATTTTCAATCCCGTAACCATCTTCCATTAACAATTATTATGTTTAATAGCGGACGCGCGAGCTATGCAAACTTCAACTGTTGATTCCAAAAAAAAAATTAATTATGTAAAATGTGTTCCCTAACAATATAAAAACTACGATTCTTAGTTTCAGAGAACAATCCTATTCTGAATTTCCAATTTTGTTTTAATATTTTCGAAGGCTTTGTATTACTATGAAAAATGTTAAAAAACACTAGTTATACAGGTTCATTGTAGATTTAGCAATATTATCTTCCGGATAATATTCTGCAATATAGATGCTGAACCATATTCCATGGTACAATGTTTAAATGGAAAAGTGACAATAAAATAACTATTCAGAATTTACATTCCGTAATGAAACAATATGCTGGCGTTTTCGAAGGTATATCTGAGTTAATAGTTGTTGTAGAGGTGAAAGCATATATAACTCCTCTTTCCCTATTTTGAAGCGTTGGGACCAAAGAGGTCGCAGCTTTAAACACCTAACTTCTTATTTTGAGAATTTTCATAAATTTTGTTTTTTGCTTACAGATGTATACTGCTATCAGAATTAACAGGATTATAAATATACATCCCAAACTGTGGTAATGATTCAGGTATAGAGTACTTATTTCATGATCTTGCTTAAAATCATACACCGTTTTAATGTGACGCGTCTTTATTACGAAAAGAAACTATTTAAAAGTTAGAGGACTTCGAATAGCAAAGAAAAGCCAAAAACAAAAATTTAGTTAATAGTTTCTTTTCGTCATAAAGACGAAATACGAATCAATGAAGACGCGTCACTCTCGGTAAGAAAAAAAAAACATTAAAATTTAGAACTATAAGAAATAATATATAATGTTTATGTTTGCATTTAATTAATATTATTTAATATTTTTGTTTTTTTTTGTTATTTGTTTACATGTGTTTACATATTATTTGGGCCAACACTGCGACCAGTCATTGACCAACGAAAAGTGCAATTTTGCATTATCAGCTTTTCTTGTTGGTCAATGCACTGAAGAAAGTGTGTAATATGTTGGCCTATAATTATGTCAGCACAGCGTAGGCAAATTTATTTATTTGTGAATTATGCATTAATATTTATTGTTAATTAATGCATAATTTAATAGCTTTTTTATTAAATAATTTTTGTATAAATATAAGAAATAATTTTAATAAAGTTCAGAAGGAAAAGAAAAATCAATTATAACTTTCTTACTTTCTCGCATCGATTAGTTTGGGTTTCAAGTGCTCAAACTAATCAACATAGAAAATACAAGTAGTTTGGGTTACAAGTGCTCAAACTACTTTACACATAAAAATTGGCTACCAAGCTAACACAGATTAAGGATCTGGGTTAGCACCAAGTAGCGTACATATATTATTGTTCAACTTTTCCTGATCGCGATCAGCGAACTTGTAGAAAAACATTTGCATAGCTTCTTTGTAAAATTACACCCAAAAACTAGCGCTTCACATATACCTACTAAGTAAAAATATGCATAATATATATCTCTACAAAAGAATAACTTTGAAACAAAAAATAGGCAATTTCAAGAGTTAACTTTCAATTCGTTGAACTTGTGTTTCCAAATAAAATCGTTGTAATTTAAAAAGCACGGCAAATGCTTTGGTTAGTGTCACTAAAAAAGTAAGAAGTGACAAAAAACCTGGAACTAGAGCATTGAAAGTTCGTGCAGCCTTGGCTGCTTGTGGAAAAACACGATTATTCATCGCTTCAAATTTGACAGGCACGAGTTCTAAGCCTGTCGCTTGCAGTCCAAACAAATTAAAAACGGACTATAAACTAATTAAAAAGAAATTCAAATATTTTCTAAGACCACTGATGATGAGAGCGTGGTAATACTGGAAACAGTGTTGTGTGGTCAGCCAAATTTCAATAAATTAACTAAATTTTTGTTCTGGTCTTTTCTTTGCTATTTAAATCCCTCACACAAAGTTGACCGCAAATTTATACGTTGCAAGTGTATTCGATTGTGTTTGAACATAAACATGTATGGTTCTAAGTACAAACTCTTTTGTTTGAAAAAATTTGGTTTCATGTTATAAGAAGTATGTGTAAAGTTGTGTTTATTCCAGATTGATATAATATTCAACTTATATATATATTTTATTAATTTAATTTATTTAATATGTTATTTTGTTAATGAAATTGTAAATATTATATTGTGAATATATTATTGCCTAATGTAATATAATTATTTTTGATGAAACATCTAATATGTTTCAATTTATTATTTTTAATTTAAGCGCCTCACGTAAAACCATTGTAGAAGGGCCGCATACCCTTTCAGATAGGGCACGCGTCGTCACAGAATTTTACATATTGGCAATTTCAATATAGAATGACAATAATGTATTAGTCTGACTTTATAATCTCTCACCTGACTTTACAGAGGTGAAAAGCATGGGTAGTACATCCAAGATACTGTGCTGGTTAAGTTTTTAATTAGACAGGTGACAAAAATTAATTTCCTATTCCAGTGAATAACACAGAAACATATTCATGTATATAATACAGTCATGCGGGCACATGCTTTCATAGAACTTACCTAAATTTAATCGGGTGATTTTAGTGTTTTTTTTTTTTATTCAATAATTATTAAAAATACAGAAAAACTTTGTATGAGTGAATTGTTTATTTTTAATAGATGTATAACTATTAAAGCTGAACAAGAAAAAAATTGCTCAAAAATTGTATTAAAAATTGAAATACCTGACAAATGGTTATGAGTCCGAAGTTACTTCCTGCAAAGATAAAAGTGGCAATTATTAATTGTAAATTTTATGTTCATAATTGTAATTTTAAGAATATATAGTAATTGGTCTTGATACTGTAGTCGAGATGCAGTTATTGTGTAATGTAAACAAGCGATATTATACTACAATGTAATTATGGTTTTTATGCATTATGGATTATTAAAAGGTCGGTTAGCACTAGTCTCTCCCTCTCCAACCGCCCTGATCTTAACATCTTTTGTGTCTACCATACTCCCTCCATTGCTAACGTTATTAACTCCAACGATCTGGGCACCCTTGCTTCCTTGTCCCCTAACCCTTTCCTTATAGGGACTGACTTCAATAGCAAGTACCACTTATAAATGTAGTGGCACCAGACTTTTCAACTGGCTGACGAGCAGTTCAGTCACTCCTATTCTTAGTGTGGTAGCTCGCTCGGTTCTGACTCGTATCAACAATATCATTGACTTTTTCATAGCGGATAATTGCCTTCTCCCCAGCCTCGATGATCCGCATGTCATCGACAGCGTATCTGATCACCAAGCGGTAAGGCTTGCGCTTTACGACTGCAGAGTTACTCGTGCCTGCCCTCGCACTTTTTTCAACTTTTCCAGCACCAACTAGTCAGAGTTTAATCTCACTCTAGATCATCTTCTTCTTCAGCTGAGCATCCCCGAACACAGGAACATGACTCCTGCGGATATCGATTTTGCTGCCGATGCTCTTGAAACCATTTTTGCCTCCTTTAAACTTCTCTGACATGCTTCGGCTCAAAGCGCCCAAAAAGTCATCTAGCACTGACTTTGTGTCTTTCTACACCATGCGACGTTTCTCACCTCTCTTCTTTAAAGAGTGCGCGATGTTCTTCAACCATGTGTACAACACTGGTTGCTTCCCCCAGGCATGGTGGAAGGCTATAGTATGTCCCATTGCCAAGAGTGGCAAACTCAAAGGTGACTCCTTCAGCTATCGCCACATCTCTCTTTTTAACTCTATCAGCAAGTTATATGAAACTTTCATAGCCAGTAAGCTGAAGTCCTTCTCTTCGAATCATTATATTATTCCCCCTTACCAGTTTGGCTTTAGAAGCAAAACTTCCTCTATCCATGCCCTACACTATCTCCAAAATGAGATACGCGTAGGTTTTTTCAATAAGCAGCCCACTCTGACACTAAGTTTAGATATTGGAAAAGCCTTTGACACCGTCTGGTTTGAAGGCTTAGTTCTTAAGCTCCACCAGTTCGGCTTCTCCTCATCTTTTTGCAGTGTGTCTTTCTAATACGACTTTCAAGTCCGAGTCGGTTCCTCTTTGTCCCGCGACTTCCCCATCTATGCCGGTGTCCTCAT